CGCGGGTAAACGGCGGGAGTAACTATGACTCTCTTCTCCGCCGCTGAGGAGTGTGCACGTGTGTGCGACACAACGCGATTTTTATAAACGCATCAAGAAATTCTACCGCGTCGCGGCGCCCTCAATAACGGGCAGCACACGTGCAGTGACGGGTTTAGTGCGTGGGAGTGAAGACAGCGGGGTGAGTGCAAGGGCTGGTATCAAAAAGGGAAAATTAGAGAAACAACGCGATTCTAACCTAGAAATCTTACAATAAAGGTTAGAATCGCACGACAAGCCGCGGGCCCCATATTGTCTTTGGGGCATCGCGCATCTAATAGAATATCACACCAGCTCGATTGCCCCCCGCAACGCCGGTTTCCGGCGTCAAGCCGCTAGTGCCCTTTTGGCAAGTACATCGTGTCCGACGGGGCCAAAAAGGCGTCCAATCAATCATCTACCGGCCCCAAGGACACACACCAAATCTCAGCTCCATAACTCGACAGTTAACGCCGTACTGGCCGTATTAAGTGCGGCCAGGTATCAGGAGACCAGGAGCTGGGAGGAGGTAGTTCCGGAGATAAAATCTTTCACACGCGATATCTCCGGAACCAGACCACGTAGCGGCAAACGGTCTTCACTCCCATACGCGGAAAGGACAGTGCTTTAACCTACCCAAAGACACTCAACGGCGGCGGCGCATGCGCAATGGCGGATTCCAAGAGGAAGACATTTAAAACCGCTGTTGCGGCAGAGAGAGTTAGAACACGTGACATGACGTCACGTCACCCCACCCGCAAGAGGAAATTCGATATAAATGAGGGGGAACCAGTTAAATCCCCTCCAGCGGGTGGAAAATCGACTGCCGGTGGCCCAACAGCCACCGGAACCAAATTGGCAGGCTCGAATACCGTTTCTCCAATACCAGGGCCCAGTAATACGGTGACCCTGCAGCCTGCCAATGCAGCACCATACAGGTGTCAAATATGCGAGAGGCCCTATGAGACAAAAAGTGGCCTCAACAAACATCTCCTAACATGTGGCAAGCGCGATCGAACTAAATGCCAATATTGCAAAGCAGGTTTTACTACATACACAGGGGTGCGGCTTCACGAGCAGAGGGCACACCCCGAAGCAGAAAACGACAGCAGGAGGAGGGAACTACGAAGGCCTGATTCCGAAATCTATGATATACTGGCAAACATCGAGATCCAGTCACATAAAGGCCCCTTTATGGCGAAAATGGTTGCCGAATCAGGTCTGACGAAGGACCAAATACGGCATCGAAGAGATAAACCCATCTATAAGCAATACCTCGATGCCGCTAGGAAGAAACAGCAACCAATCCCTTCTCCCAGTGTGCCATGTGAGCCGCCCACCTGCCCAACGAACGAGAAGATCGACCATCAGGCAGCGACATCGACGCCACCAACAGCTCGCGACGATGTAAAAGAGGGTGAGTGCTCCTCCGCGGTTGCGTCCGCACTATCGCCAATCACTCCAGATCCGATGACAAGCAGGAAGAGGATTCGGAATGAATCGATGTCGCCTCTGTCCAGCCTACAGTAAGGAGACCCCGCACGATGCAGTCAACCTCACCGCCAACTCCCCCGCACAGGTCGAACAAACCCAGGTGGTCATGAACCAGCGCTGCGCGAATACCTCGCGTCTGAACGCGAAGCAGCGCTGGCCAATGGGAACGGCCATCTGGCGGACCTGTGCCAGGCAGGATCATCGCTTGCGGTAATGATCTTGCCCTCCTATCTAGACAATTGGATAATAGAACATTTCCAAAAAGGGGGAAGGAAATACAACCCAAATGGTCACAGAGGTGGACCAAAATCAAATTACGGAGGTACTAGACCAGGAAGAGGTCCACGGGTAGAATCATACAAAAAGGCCCAGGATCTCTACCTCCGTAACAGATCAGCTCTAGTGGATAAAATCATTTCAGGAACTCCACTAGACTCTACTGAAGAGGTACCACCTCTAAAAGCGGTTGAGGAGCTGTATAGCGGATCTTCGAGCGGGCTGCGACGGAGACGATGACGGTTCATCCCGAACCACGAAACACCGATGCACCACTTTCGCTCCATTCGAAGAAAGCGAACTAGAGGCAGCCAAAACAGCATGGGCTAACTCAGCACCTGGTGCTGACGGGATAACGGTGGCATCGGTTAAAAATACGAACAACAGGGTGCTATGTGTTTTATATTCAATAATCCTTATGAGAAACGTGCACCCTGCCATCTTCCTGCGGTCTAGGACCACAATTATATATAAAGACGGCCAACGGAGCGAGGCGGCGAATTGGAGGCCCCTTACTATCGGGAGTGCCCTCCAGCGACTGATGCACAGGGCGATGGCTAACCGCTTGCGGAAGGTCGTCGCCCTGGAAGCCAATCAACGCGGATTTAGTACGCTGGACGGCACTCTCGCGAATTGTATGATTCTACACTCATACATTCGGAATAGGGTGTCCTCCAATAAAGAGTACGCGGTCGCTTCACTCGATTTGCGG